AAATGGTATTGTGTTTTAGAGAAGTGGGCAGGGCAAGAACTTCTTCACTCCAAATGTTTTATATGTATGTAAATGGTATATATTTTTTTACCTAAAACTGGATGGGGCGAGAACTTCTTTGCCCTAAATTTTTTATACGCATGTAAATGATGTTGATATTTTTATTACAGAGAGCTAGGTCCCTCATCCTAAATTCTTATATATTTAAAAATGCTATTTTTAATACAAAAAGAAAGAAGAAAGAAAGAGAAAAGATTTCTTCGCCCTAAATTTTTTATTAGTTATAATTTTCTTGGAAAAAATAACCCAATAAAGTTTCACACACAATTTTGTTTTTATATACAGTTGAACCCTGCCATTTCGAACCCTCAGGAGAAACAAAAAATAGTTTGAAATAGCTGATAGTATTTGATTGAATGCAAATCCATTAGGGATATGGTTTTGAGTTCGAAATAACGGGGAATTCAAAATGGCCGAATTCAAATTAGTGGGATCAAACTGTAGCACAGTATAATATTTTTTGTAAATTATGTTAGTATATTAAAAGGATATAATTATTGATTATCCATTCTGGTGTAATTTTATTGATGTGTAAATTCAAACATATCTTGGCTTGGCTGACCAATGTACCAATGCCTCATAACCTTTCAGTATAGGTTACCCAAGTTGTACAGTGAATGTAAAATACTTATAGCTACCTGATATTGCTTAGTTCCTTATAATTTAATTTTTGGCATTATTTAATTAAGAAAAATAATAATAATTAAAGGTAATTCAGTTTTTCCTGCGCAGTAGGGAATGAATGTCATTATAGGGAAGCTCCCGTGCGCGAGTGGAGCCCCATGCCTTCGAAAATTATGTAACCCATCGGTCTAAAAACTTTGGTTGTCACGTGACTGTCCGTGCGCCAAGCGCAATACCTTGAAAATATTAAGATAGCACCATTACCATAGGTGCATCTTTGATATTGCTCATCCGTGTTATGGTTTATTGACAGCTGTCAAAACAAGGTGCCCACTGACCAGTATCATGTGACCATATCACGTGCTCAGGTTTAGAACTCACTGAGGTCATTTTTTTTTTAAAGTTGACAGCTGACCAGGTACTGGGTTTTCGATCGCAGGCTCAAGTCAGTTTATTACTCTGGGAAAGAAAGAGGGAGTACGTGCAAAGGCAAAATTTTGGTGCGAGTTAACCTCTGGCGCGTTGTGGACTTTCCTTCTGATATATTCCTTGTACAATTGTCCCTTGGAATGTCCCTGATGTACTGCGTGCGTAATTTTTATAATCTTTAAGTTACGCTTATAGTGGGTATAGTTTGTTAAAATTTAACCGGAAAGAGTAGCAAAACCACACGATGAACAATTACATGCTCATAGTTGATCATATTTTGACTTTCTGATCCAAGAAAAACAAATCCCTTTTTTCCGTTATGGTTAATTTTTGGAATCAGGAGGTACGGTTTTAGGCTTGGCTAAATCTTCATATTAAATGGACTCGCATTATTTTGAGGAAAAAGAGTTAACTTCAGTCCTTATCTTAGGGCTACAAGCGAATGTAAGTACTTGAACTCAACACTATAAAGGACACTAATTTCAATGTACGTTAAAGTCGACTGAAAAGGATATATTATCCTGTCTCATAAACTACTTTGCAGAAATCCATGCTATTTAAACTTGATTTATGAGCTATGTATCCTAAAGCCGTGTACCAGAACGCCTTTTTAGCATTTGAAAATAGGCTAAATGTAGACGTCTTGTAAAGCTGTCTTGGGCCGTTGATTTAAAAAATTCGTCAAATATTTTCGTTCTGATCAAATTGCGATCTATTTAGCTCGTAAAAGAAAAGAAGGACAAATACGACGTACAATCAGTTTGTAATGAAGCTTTTTACTTTTCAGTTTACGAGCCTCTGAATATGCCGCTCATTTTCGATCGATTTTGGCCGATGTGGGGCATCGAAAAGAAGAAAATTACATTAAAAAATAATTTTTGATTTAACGAGCTTAAAACAATATTTTTGTGACTAGTGCCCTTAGGGCTTCATTCTGGACGAGTTTAAAGAAATTTGATTTTTTCGCTATTGCCAAGTCTAGTTGATATTGAGGCGAAGCTGCTCTTAAATTTTGGTGTTAACATACTGAACTTTGTAGTATATACCCACCTGCTGTAACAACATCATTGCATTGATAACTTAGCTAAAACTGCATAATCTGCATATCTAAATGATTGTTACCTAAATCAGTTAATATTTCAGTGGATCTGGTGCAAAAAGAGAACGTTCTCAATAAAAACACTCTTTATCTTGATCCCAATCTTCACTTTTTGGTCAACTTTCTAGTTCAATCTATTTAAAAATAATATTAATTGAACAGGCAGAGGGCCGACTTCAGATGCAACTTAGATAAATTCCACTTAGGTCCAGTAAATTTATAACTTTCTTTATTATATGGCTGTGTCTCACAAGGACTGGGAACTACCGAATTCGCGAATTTGAGCGGCTGAAATCGATATTGACCGCAGTCTAGATTTTCCCATCTAGACCGGTATCTAGACCGGTTACATTTTTCGGTGAAAAAGTTGCAATCTAAAATGTGAAAATATTGACTATTTTCTTCTAAAAACGTTATTGGAAGTGCCAAAAAGCCCGAGGAAAAAAAAAAAGGTAAAGGAGACGCGCAAACTTTGGCAGATTTAAGTTCAGCTCATCGCCGTTCGCAAGCAAAATGTCAGCTAGTACAAACCAGTTTCATTAAACGAATTAAATTTTTCNCGGTCGTGTGTACAGACCTCACTGCGTTCGGTCTGTACCCACGACCTCGGTCAAGATTCTCCCATACAGACCTCCTGCTCGGTTAATAAGAGCTAATTAGTAAGAAGTTAAATTCCTACAAATAAACATAAAATGAATTGCTACAAAATAACTGACTGAAGAGAGCAGAAGACTAACAGGAAATACAAAAGACAACGAACTAAAACGGCTTACCAAATGCTGGAAAGGCGAGGTTGAGGCAACCAAAAATGCTACAAGGGTAACGGACGGTACATTGACTCGAATGAAAATGAAAAGATAACACGAATATATAAGGGACGAAATTTACATACGAAGCTAAAAATAAAAGCGTCCAGAATGTGAGAAACGGCATTAACATGCAGGACAAACAAAACACAAGGGAAACGAAATAGCCGCAACATAAAACAAAGGATTTTCTCGAATTTTACCAAAGAACGAAATCCATGCTTGCATCTAACAATCTTAAGCCA